TTTTAAATTGAGATTAGGTGATTATATAAGTTTCACAGTATTGTGGAATAGTGATACTTAGTTAAAGTCACAGATATTTTAACCTACACAAGGCAAATTGTCATTATCATGGTCTATAAAGTTTGTGAATTCTATGAGCTTTGACAGTACAAATTCAAATATACTTTTGAAATATGATCTTTCATTAAGAATTTGGATATTTTTCTCTATCTACATATGCATTTTCTTGACTATCTTTCTATCTCCACATGCATTATCACTTTTATAACACTTGTGTCTGGATAATGATACTTTTTAATCATATTCTAGGAATTGTGTTTCATAAAATCCACTTATACCAAATGCAGAGGAATTATAAAATTAACTTGCCTTGGAAATGTTTATCTCTGAGTGACTTACATTAAGAAAAAAGCTAGCAAATTTTAGATAATATCATTAGATTATTATTCTTCTCACTTAAAAAGTTACACAAAGAGGTTTCACCTCAATTTGTCATTCATTTTTAATTATAAATATTTCTACCATTTTCCTTTTCCATTAGATCACTATCTGTAAGAGAAAAGTGTCTTCTCCTTGACAATTTTTTACTCTAGGTCTTAATAGGAAGTTCGTTGGGAACAGGGTTTCTACCACTAGTAACTAACATCCCTAAAAAGATATCTAGGTAAGTATGGTGTCAGATGCCTCTTCTTATCCTTCAACTCTGTGTTCATATTGGTCAAATTCCTGAGGATCAGAGCTGCTGATGGTGGGCACTATGGCTTATACTAGTTGAAGGAAGTCAGACAAGACAGGCTGGGACATAAACCTATTTATAGTATGGTGGTGGAAACATGTTCACCTTCTGGAACCTGCAATTCCTGACTTTCACAGTGGGGTCCCTCTGCCTAGTACCACAGGCATCATGGATTTTTATTGATTATCATTAAACACAGACACTTTTGATGACACTTTTCTCAGAAGAGCAGGCTTTACCCATCTTTTTTTTAATTTTACATATGTATATATACATATTTATTTTTATTTTTTTAATTGTGAAAATACTGAACAGAGGAGTTACAATGGCTTGAGCAAGGTAATGAGCACATTTCTTATCAAGCATGTTGCCTCCTCCTTAGTTTCTCTTACCATCCCTGCCCTCCCATCCCCTACCCCCGCCCTGTGCTGCCCCCACCAAATTTGTAAATTCATTTTTTGACATAATATCTTGTACATTTCATTGTTGCAATGGGCCCACCTGTATCTCTATTTAAACAAATTTTTCCCTTTCCCTCCCCAAATTATACCAACATCAAATACAGTGAAAACCGGGTTTATACTGCAGAGAAGGGACATACAAAGCAACAAAAAATCACCTTATAAATATTTTAGAAACATTAGCAAGAAAGAAAAACCACTTGTGTCCTTATCTTGGGGTTCATTTCGTTTAACATTAATTTATCTGACCTTTTCTGCTTGTCTCAGACATATACTAATTACTGCAAATAAGGGAAACCATGGAACCTATGTTTCTTTGTGCCTGGCTTACTTTACCTAATATAATTTTTTCCAAATCTTTCTATTTCCTAACAAATTTGGCATTGTCATTCTTTCTTATTGAGGCTTAGAATTCCATTGTGTATTGAGGTGCATCTGGGTTGGTTCCATATCTTAGCTATGCTAAACAATGCTGCAATAAACATAGTTGTGCTGGTAGCTGTAGTATAGTGTTGTTTATGATCATTCATATAAATGCCCTATCATGGCATTGCTGTGTCATAGGGGAGCTCTATGTGGAGTCTTTTGAGGTAACTCCATACTGCTTTCCAAAGTAGCTGAACAAGTTTACACTCCACCAACAATGCAGTAAGGTTCCCTTCTGTCCACATCCCTCCCCTCCAGCATCTGTTGTCATTAGAGTTCTTGATTATAACCATTCTTACTGGGTTGAGTTGTTATTCAGTGTTGTTTTGATTTGCATTTCTTTTATGACTAGAGAAGCTGAGAATTTCTTCATGAAAACACTGAAATGATGCCACAGAACTATAGCCATCTAATCTTCGATGAAACATAGAATGGAAGAAAGACAGTCTCTTCACTAAATGGTGCTGGCAAAATTGGTTCATCACTTGTAGAAGACTAAAGCTAGATCCTTATATATCACCCTGTACCAGAATAAACTCCAAATGGATCAAAGGCCTTAGAGTCAGCACCCTGAAAACATTACAGGATGGAATAGGAGAAACACTAGGTCTCCTTGGGTTTCTTAATAGAAACCCAGAAACACACCAAATCAAAGAATGTTTGGACAAATGGGATTGCATGAAATTGTAGAGCTTCTGCATGGCAAAGGACATAGCTAGCAAGATCAATAGAAATCCCATGGATTGGGAGAAGGACCTCACTAGCCATACAACAGACAAGGGTCTCATATCTAAAATATACTTAGAAATCACAAAATTAAATCCCCCAACAGTAAATCCTCAAAGCAACAACTGCCCAATAAATAAGTGGGCTAAAACCTTACAGAGAAACTTCTTTGAAGAGGAAAAACGATGGCCATTAGACTCCCTTCCTTTTTCTTTACTTACACTGTTACATCCACCTGGCTATTTGCATATTGCTCCCTAAGGAGGACTTTAATTTCTAAGTCTGAAATAAAGGCTCAGCTCTGAACTTGCCTTGACCTGTCAAGACTCCTGATTTCACTTCTTAAAAATGAAGTCTGTCTCTCAGCTCCTGTGGCTGTTAATGCTCTGGATCCCTGGTAAGTGTAAAGGGAGTAATGAGAGTGTGTGGCAAGAATTACCAGTTGTAATTTAGCCATGTGTTAGATGTTCATAGTAGGGCAATGAGGTTTAGGTCTGAGAGAGTGAGGAACACTCCAGAAAGGCAAGAACCTGTGCTTGAGTGAAGTAAAAGTAATGTATGCATGGCTTTCTATATTTATATATAATCATGCACTCTGCCTTATTCTAATTTCAGGATCCAATGGAGATGTTGTGATGACCCAGACTCCACTTTCCCTGCTTGTCACCCTGGGAGAGCCAGCCTCCATCTCCTGCAGGTCTAGTCAGAGCCTTCTGTATAGCGATGGGAACACCTATTTTTATTGGTTCCTACAGAAGCCAGGCCAGTCTTTACATCGCCTGATCTACTTGGTTTCCAAAAGAGGATCTGGGGTCCCAGACAGATTCAGTAGCAGTGGGTCAGGCTCAGATTTCACACTGACAATCAGCAGGGTGGAGGCTGAGGATGTTGGAGTTTATTACTGTTTTCAAGGTACACATGTTCCTCCCACAGTGATACAGCCTTGAACAAAAACCTCCCATCTGGCTGGGTGAACTGCCCTCACCCAGCTGCTGGCTGGTCTGGGGAGCAGCCCAGCAGATTGTGTGAGTCTGCCTAGGAGGAAGATATTGAGGTCAATAGAAGAGTGACTCTGAGTAAAGATGAAGAGTATATGAAAATACAACAAAATGCAACCTATAACAGCCAGAATAATTACCTGAATATAAAGACCAGATGAACCATTAGGTATTTATTGAAAATTCAATTTTCTCTTCAGTAATATTATAGCCAACCTTTACTCTAAAAGCCAAATGTCTTCCATGATGATTATTCTCTCTCTGTGATGAAATTTATACTACTACCTTTCAGCACAGGGTAGCCTACATCTTTTGCTATGCGTTCTGTTCAGAACCTGGAAGCCCAGTTGTGCCTTTTCTAGCTTCTGCTCTGTGTGTTCATCAAACCCTGCCTGACCATCAAGCCATCACCAAAGTTTTATCAGTGTCTCTCAGCTGGATCAACCTGGGGAACATACAAAATTGCACAAAGCACAGTAATGTCTGCCTTGTATGTCCTGGGGCTCTGGCTCTACTTAAGAGAATGGTGTGTGGTGAAGCCCTGTAATATGGTTCATAGGTCCCAGAAGTCTGAGACTGAACCCTTTGTCAATGAATGCTATATTCACAATCTAACCTGGTCAACCTCTGTGGCTTTATATTTAAAAATATTTCAGGAGGGCATCATTCATCTTGTTTGCCTTGGAGCCACTTCTATCACCTTAGACACCTGGAACTATGACATCTTACAGGCTAGGACTTGGGGAATTCTCAAGTCTCCACCAGTGCCCAGTGTGCATCTGCTTCAGATGCTATAAATTGTTTCACCATGATGCTCTCCAATCCATCTGGGAAAAAGTGGCCTGAAGTTGTAAATGCTCTGGTTTCATCAAGGTATCATTCATAGAAGAAGTGTAGGTCTGAAATGTATATGAACTTATGGAATAGCTTTAAGTTACTTATGGAAACATCTTTTTTTTTTTTTGGTCCGGTTGTGGGGCCTGGGTGCTGTCTCTCAGCTCTTCAGCTCAAGGCTAGTGCTCTACCAGTTGAGCCACAGCGCCACTTTGGCTTTTTTTTTCTTTTTGTTTATGTGGTACTGAGGAATCGAACCCAGGGCCTTATGCATGCAAGGCAAGCAGTCTACCACTGAGCCACCTTCCCAGCCCTTGTGGAAACATATTAACAGGAACAATTAATGCAATGTTTATCCACAATTGTAGCATTTTGTGGACGACCAGCCAGATATGTCAGAATTGAATCTCAGTTCTCCTCTCTGTTCAGGAATTTTAACAGAAGTTCCCATCAGATTTTTTATTCTCACCTGAGCTCCTCATTGTCTCCTCACTAGTCTGTGAGTCATCAGCAAAGAAAAATATAGTTTCACTGGGACTCTGCACACTGCCATTCCTGTATGATTGACAAGTCAGCTGTCATTATTACTCCCTATCTAAGAGTTGTGACTGGAGCTCAAGTGGAGTTATTTCCTGATATTATTATTGAGTCTATTATTATATCAAGAAATATTCATTGTAGTAATGGTAATTACAAAATGACAAATTACATTAAATATTTGTTGTCAACATTTAACACTGGAATAACTTTCTAGAAAAGCACATACACAGGCAAACACACATATGGAATATAATGGAGGAATATTTGTTTACCTAAATACATATAATTAAGCATTTCTACTCATTCTTTTCCTGAAACCAGAAGTATTCTTATCACCTCTCTGCACTGGTTACAAATGCAAATGCAAAACAGCTGATTCACCTTTCTTCAAGGAATGATGCTCTGCATTTCAACAAGTTAACAGGTTTCCATAGGGTGTTTTGGAATCTAAGCTTTAGGAGATTTTTACCTCAACGAAGACCTTTTAAGAAAAAAAAATGGTAGCAACACAACTACATCTTTGTCTAATTAACAAAAACTAATTTTTGTTCTTGGATGCCAAACTGCAAATTCATGATTATTTCTCAGTTATAAGATCCAGTCCTTTGAAAGTATAATGGAATACATGTTTATTAGCAATTTGATAAAAATTCATGGTCCTGTTCTGGGGATATTTGGACAAAAATTTGTTACAATAGTTTGACCACAACAGAATATATATAATCCTAAGTGATCATTTCCTCTTATGTCTCTGTTCCAGCTCAAACAATTCCACACAATGGAGACAAGACCAGGTATCTGCAACAAAATGAAGAAGCTGAGCCCTGCCTGGATTGGGCACATCAGTGCAATTGTGAATTTGTCTTTGCACTAATATAAATGATTTGTGTTACCAGCCCCTAGATTTTGAGAAGTTCGTTACATTTTATTATTGTTGAAATGATGACTGAAACATGAACAGAGAGGATGCATTTTTATGAGAACTGATTGCATAATAAAAGTATTTATAAAATAAATATAAAGTGATAGAATACAGAGAAATATGAGATTATGTAAATAAAAGTAATGCAGTTGCATCTACCAAAGAATTTTCTGAAAAAGAAACAATTAATTTGCAATTGACCCATGAACATCAATAAATATCAGAGGAATTAGAAATGGGCTTACATATATGAAATTATTGATAGATATTCACATGTATATGTTAACAGAAAAAACATACTTAGACACACATAATGTATAAAAACATATAATAAAGGCTGACCCATTGTAATAATCAGATGTGCAAGACACTATCTTAGAAACAAACTTTACAGCTTGGGGGAGAGGGAGGAGTTGGGAGGTGGGGAGGGAAAGGATGGTAGGAGCAAAACAAAGGAGGAGGTAACAATGCTGGATAGGAAATGTACTCATTACCTTATTCATGTAACTGTAACCCTCTGTACAGTATGTGTACAATAAAATATAAAACATATCGAATACATTAAAATATGTAAAAATGTATGAATCCTCAGTTGTCTACAGCTCTCAACTATTTCCTCCTGTATATTTGGGGATGGATATGACTGAGTCATCTTAGGGCCTAGAATCCTATGTGAGGCCCTCATTTAGCATATCTGCAGGAAACCAGGGAGGGAAAAGCATTCTGGGAAATACACTTCCTATAGAAACTGTGTAATAGAAGTTGAGAGCTGGCCACCCTTTGTGGTCATATGACCCAAAACTCAAGGATTTGATCAGGATTTCATTACCCAAGTACATTTCCATATTGATTCTAAGTATCATCAACATATTGCAAGCAACACTGGAAAGTTTCATTAAGTCACAGGTCAATGGCAAATGAAATTTTTGCATGAAATTTGTAAGAATCTCTTCATAAACAAATGAAAATCTTTCTTAACAATATAAAAAGGAAACTCAACTAAATAGGGATGCAGTATTATTTCTTTCTCTTCAGAGTGTGTACCGAATTCAACATCATCAACATCATAAAGACCATGTGACAAAGGCAAAATTATAAACCATCTCAGATCTACTGAATGTGAATATTCAGTTCAGCAAGATAACAAGTGTTCCTTGTTAGGTCTAAGCAGCCTTGTGCAAGCCAGGGCCTGGTGGCTCACAACTGTAATTACAGCTACTCAGGAGACTGAGATTTGAAGATTGTGGTTCAAAGCCAACCCAGACAGGAAATGAAGACTCTTATTTCTAATTAACCAAAAAGATCTGGAAGTAGAGCTCTGTTTTAAGTGGTAGAGCACTAGTCTTGAGTATACATAGTGCAAGGAAAGTGCCTAGGCCCTGCATTCCAGCATGAGGACTGGCAGAAAAAAAATCAGCTGTGTTTACAGGATGAGTATCAAGGGTAAGAGATTCTCCTTACTTCTCTATTAGCCCCTTTTAAGAACATGTCTATTTAACCCACATGTTAAAAACATATGCATGTGCATCTGCATATACATGCAGATGCCCATAAACATACACATACCTTCATTAGCTCATTCCTACTTGTTAAAATAAAGTACCTGAGCACTATACAAAGAACAGTTTTGTTTAATACACACTTTTAGATTTAGAAAGTCCTAGGTGCAGTGTCCTTATTTGTCTGTTCTCAGGTGAGGGCTTCCATGTCTGTATCAGGACATGGTGTGTTATTAAAAAGCCACATGTTGAAGAGGCTGATTATTTGGTTGTCTTCATGTCATAGCAATTGACTCTTAAGAGATCTGACTTACTCCTTTAACCCTCCCAAAGGCAGCACCTTCAGTGATCTAAGCACTTTCCCCAAGTCACTGACATTTGGGGTCTTCTAGCTCTTAGCATAGACACACAGGTTTCCACTGAGGAAAATCCTTCTTACACAGACTTTGTGGAAAAGGCACATCGAAATGTTAGTAGTGTCTGTCCATATGCTAATACATTTGTATTAACAGACAATCAGATTGGAAATGTGTGAAGTTATTGTCCTCAAAGAAAGAATAATACTTAACACTTGCCAGTACCATAATGATGCATTCAGTTCTACAGCTTGAGTAGTCACTGGGTTGGGAAATTTTCACATTTATTAATGACATCATAACATTGTGATCTGAGTGTTCATGGTTCTTCAGCCTTAGCTCAGATATAATATGGGGATCATCTTAGTGTTCTGCAGCGCAGCCACACAGAAGTCCTGTCAGCACCAGGGAATTCTGCACGTGAAAATGTATATTAGTTTAAGATGCTGGTCTTTCTTTTTGTGTTTTTTTTTTCTGTGCTACTGAGGATTGAACTCAAGACTTCACAAGTACTCTTTGATTGCTGCAACATATCCAAATCTTTTTGCTTAAGGTCATTTATTGCAAGTAGGGTTTTGGGATTCTGCTTGTCTGGGTTCCAAGCCCAGACAGTAGTTAAGTCACTAAAGATTTCTTCAGTTTGACACTAAAAGAGATGGGTAACATAGTAATGCACATGTTCATAGAGCAGAGTAATCTGAGTTAACTTCAGTTTGTAGGATAAAGAGTATCTGTTTCTGAATGGGAACAATATGAAAGGACAAACATGAATGTCATCCAAAGGTGTAGGAGACTTCTAGCTCAGACATGTGGAATGA